CGTTATTCTTGACAGGATACACGATACGATAGGATACACGCACGATACGATAGGATTTAGTGCATCACGATATTCTTCTAGAAAAATTAAATCATTACAAATTTGACCAAACAGCTATAAAATGGTTTAAGTCATATCTTTACGACAGGACCCAGTGTGTTAAATTTGGAACATGTGTCTCCAATATTCAACCCGTCACAGCAGGAGTGCCACAAGGGTCAATTCTGGGCCCTCTTTTATTTTTATTGTACATAAATGACCTTCCATTACATGTAAACAATTCAAATATTGATATGTTTGCTGATGATGTTACTCTGTATTCAAATAATCATAATGCACGATGTTTAGAAAATACGCTAAATGCAGATCTTTGTAAGATTGAAAAATGGTGTGCTCAAAATCAAATGGTCTTAAATGTAGATAAAACAAAATGTATGTTAATGGGAACACAGCAAAGAAAATCAAAATTAGATAATCCAAATTTACAACTTTATGCCTCAGACAAAACAATTGAAATTGTTGAAACTGGAAAAATTCTTGGTGTACATATTGATGATAAGTTACAGTATGCAAATCATATTGACTCAGTTTGTAAAACGGTTAATTATAAGTTATTTACGCTTCGTAGGATTAAGAAATTTCTCCCTCTTCATACCAGGAAACTTTATTACAACGCTTATATTTTACCATCTTTTAACTATTGTTTGACTGTTTGGGGTAATGCCCCCAAGCAGGACATGGACAGACTATTTAAATTACAGAAAAGGGCAGCAAGGATTATCCTTGATGCAAGTCCTGATTCTTCTTCTAAACCACTGTTTGAGAAACTTGGGTGGTTAACAGTTTATGAACTAGTTGATCTATACAAATACATATTATTATACAAAATTTTCAGTGGAATGACCCCCGAATATCTTCGTAATTTATTTGAATTTCAGTCTTCAACTTCTTATAACCTGCGATCCGAAACTAATTATGATCTTAGATTACCAAAATTTCGTACAAACTTATTCAAGACCTCTTTTCAGTATTCAGGTGTACATCTGTGGAATAAACTTCCCCAACACATTAGATTCTCTCATTCTCTACGAACATTCAAGCGTAATGTGGAAAATTACATTATCAGCTGTCGTACAATCATTTGAGCATAATAAGAGTTCAATATCGTATATTTTACTGTTATTGTTAAGATGTGTCTGTATTTGAACACTCTATTCATAATTCAGTGATTGTAATTCTCAAACCTATATAACATGTACTTAATTGTATGTGATTATGATGATTTGTATCTTGATGAAGTGTATATATTTTGTATTTGATATATGTACATATATATAGAGGGCCCTGGGGAAGAATAGTGCATGCACTAACCAGGTTACCTTCTTTAAATAAAGTTTTATTATTATTATTATTATTATACATGCACGATAGGACAGGATACACGCACGATAGGATAAACACAAAACACGATAAACGCAAAACACGATAGACCTGATAAACGATCTTCACGATGGGATAAACACAAAACCTGATAGGATTGTTTCAAAATACGGAACGTTTTCTGACAAGACGAAAAGATTATTTTGTTTACTTATTGCAATATTTTAATTACTTGCAAAGCTTCAAATCTAAATTATAAAGTACATTTAATTATAATAACAAAACAATTGAGATCACTTGTAATTTTACAAAAATTCTTTACATGTATTTATATAAATTTTTTGGCAATGATTACTCGTAAATGGATTATTATGAAATGCAGACTGTATTTTTTTTTAACTTCTACTCAAGGTGTTGATTTCTTGTGTAAATGTTGAAATTCTCATCTTAAGGTTGAACCATGACTCACTTAATTATAGATGTTTGAACATACATGTAATTGTTGCACAAATATCCCGTACATAATTATGTGCCGTTTCTCATGGGTTCTATTTTAAATTTTTAAAACTGGATCAATGTCTTAAATGCTTCGTTGTTATTTTTTTTAAATCAAGATTTTAAATAAGTGTGCATACATGCAGATCAGAGGCGAAAACACATTCCTGATAGTAGAAGACGATTATTCGGGAGAAAATGAATATTCCATAAAAAAAAAAACACATCCCAATCCCCTGCTAATTATTATTAAAATTTTTCGGAGGGGGTGGGAGGGGGTACGTATACACCGTGACCTACCGAAAATCATCCTCTAGTGACTGTGACAAATTCAATAAAATCTTATTAATATTTAATTTTTACCTAAAAAAAAATATCCCACAATTCGATGAATTAAAAAAAAAACCAGGGAACCTATTATTTCATTTTCAAAAAATTAATTTTGATTCTCTGCTTGACTATGATATGATTATTTTCTTAATTCAATTTATTATTAATTATTTAATTAATCAATTAAATTATTTATATTTTCGTTATTTTCATTCCACGCTTTAATATTTCTTTTAATGATGGAAAACTAAGGAATAAAACTTTCTTTTCTCGTTCTTGGTTATAATAATCTAATTTTAGTTAACAAAACGAAAAAGAAACTCGGAATACCTCGGTAGTTTCTTCCCGTAGTAAAGATAAAAAGCGAGGGATTCTGGATATACACGATAAACGCAAAACACGATACACGATAGAACCTGATAAACGATCTACACGATAAACGCAAAACACGATAAACGGAAAACACGACAGAAAAAGGAAAACACGATAAACGGAAAACACGATACGATAGGATACGATAGGATACACGCACGATACGATAGGATACACACACGATACGATAGAATACACGCACGATAGGACAAGATATATTTGTAAACAATAACGATGCGGGTACTGTACAAGTATTACACTGTTTGCTGTTGAAACAGTTAAACAACTCTATTCCTGTTCATTTCTACGAACGTTGATTAAGGTTTAGCATTTTTCGCCATATCCTGCACACTACACACACAATATTAAAGCACAATATTCCTCGAAATAAAATTTACAATTTGAATGTAAAACTTGAAAACACGACCACCACATGCCCCTCATGAATTTACAGTCACAAACTGCCTTTTTTTCCGAATTATTTACAGAATATTAACCATATGATGCAAGTATAGAATACAACACAAGTAATGACATTACAAAAGGCAGTCCATGAATGCGTTCATGTCTGTTACTAATTGATACTGAGATGCGAAAAAATAACTTCACTGATAGCTGTCATGGTAGTCTGGTCCGATTTAAAGAAAAAAAAATACTTCTAACGGCAAATAATTATTATTTGGTCCAGCATAGTTTTTTTAACCTATTTTGAGTATGCTGAATCCGAAAAAAATATGCTGGCCTTCATGAAAATGACGTTAAAGAGGTCAAAATGGCGATTCAAAATGGCGGACATCCAATTTTTCAAATTTTTTCTTAGTGTCTTTAAAATTGGAGAAGTAATGAGTGAATATCTAACTCAGTGTAATAAAACTAAAGAAAATATAATAGGATGCTAACTTTATTAGTTTAAGGTACTTGTTTACTCACGATATTTTAACAACAACGGGTCGCCATACTTACAAATGTCGTAAATTTAACAAGTTGTGTAAATGAATAGTTTTGTATTTTAAACTATATAATTATAAGAGTAAAATATTACATATAAAACTAATATTTGTGGGTTTTTATGTTCTAATATTTATAATTTATCGAAAATATACTGTTTACGACATATTCCGCATCAGCGCGGTAAATGTAAACAATGGCGTCTGACATCGTCAATGTAGCATGGCACACTGGAAAAACAAGGTTTTTCAAAGAAAACATCGCAATACAGGAAAAATTCTCACTTGTCACGAATCGCTGGGTAGAAATTTGGGTTGATTTAGACCATAATTATGACGTGAATGATGAATCGATCTACCGGGGTGAGACTGGACATGATCATGATGACAACGTACCAGAACCTGCATGTATGATGTAGAGACGTTCCCGCCTCCTTCAACATTGAACAACAGAAAATTCGAGGTAATGCTTAAGACTAAAATCTATGATTTCTTTTGTGTTCTCTATGTTTTAATATAAATAAATCTTTCGGCACAAATATCATTGCACACAGCAGTACATCTATATATATAATTATATACCGATAAACACTGATCAAGATATCGAGGGATAGGCCTATAGAATCGAACCAAATCCATCAGCTGCTAATCTGACGTACGATGTCAGTGACATCAACTGGGAACTACTGAATCACTTTCAATGCATGAATAGAAATGATATGTAAACTAGTAATGATTGCATTGACTGCCATTTTTTAAAAATTCTTCTATGAATTATGAAAAAGAATTTTAAGATTGGTACAATTTTATTGCATGATCAATGCGTAATTTTTATAATGTACAGTATTGATCATTTAACTTAAACAACACTTTTTTTTTATTTCTTAAGATATGACACTGCATTGAGTAAAGGGAGAAGGTGGTAGAACTAGGGGTCTTAGCAGATGGCTACTCAGGTTGTGGAGTTTGTGGCATTCCTCTCCATCTTTCTTATACCATGGGGATATTAACTTGTGGCTTAAATTGGGTTCATTCCTGAAAGTCCAGTGTCAGAATACAGCATGTCAACATATATAAGGCCATAATAAATAAATAGCTAGATTCTCATCTGAATTTTTTTAAAATTGAGGCGGGCGGGCAGCTTTTATTTTATATTTTATATTTTTTCAATTTTGCAGATTTATTATCGACCTGGTCAATCGGTGTAATTTTATCTATATTACCCAAATAAAGGTCATAGTAAAGGTTCAATTATCTCTTACTCCACATAATCACCAATCTTTTTCAACCAATGACCCTTGTTTAAAATATATACACATTACACATGTATTACAGCAATTTCCATCTTTTCAGCTGTCAAAATCATGTCGACGTTCGCGGGAACATGAGGAAAATGGTAGATGAATACCGATCCCGATCAGAATTAAGATGAAGAAAAACAGAAATAAAAAAAATCAAGGCCTTTATTTTATGGCTTAAATAAATTTCTACTGGAAAGCACCGTGGAAAGATATGGGATGCAAATACCAAGCTTGCTTAACACAGGACAGGTACATATTTTATTTTGCATTTAATTTTTAATTACGTACAGTACTGTACAGTACATATATAATGAAAGCACCAGGTTAATGTAAGAAAAATCATTTGTTCTATATTTCACAAATGCATTTGAATTATATATTTTTAAGGAATGGTGCATATAAGCATGGGGCTTTCTCAGGTGAATGCACTTTTAACATCATTAAATATCCCCCCAATCAGTTTTTGGACTCTGCAAAACAGACAACATGAAACAGGACCAGTTCTGGAGAATACTACAGTAGAAAGTACCAGAAGCAGCCTTCATGATGAAATTCAGGCAACTGTAAGTATGTATAGAGAAAATAAAATGCCCATTGTAATATGATTTTTTTTAATATTTAGGACACTAGAATATATTTGATTTAAATGAAGTTATAATGTTCCTATCAGAATTAAAATTAATAGATGACATCATTAAAAATTTTAGTACAGTAAAACTCATTCAGTAGGAATATGTTTATACAGAATTCACAGATATAGTGAAGTTTTTCGGGGTCCCCAGCAAAAATTCTGAACATTTGTTTGTAAAATTATATTGTTATAATGAATTCTGATGTAACAAATTTATTGATATAGTCAACTATTTTGAGTCCTGTAGAGGTTTTGAAAAAAATGAAATTCACATCTTTTTTAATGAATTTTGAAAATTGATATATAGTGAACTGACTATTTTTGTTAAGTATTTGTTTATAAAATTCAATTCATAATGAAACCATAGTTATCCAAGTAATGTTTTGTAACAACTGCTTTTCTTACATATTCGATAAAAATACTTGATGGAAAATGTGTAAATTGCAATTGCTTTATACAATTATACAAATTCGTGATACTGATATAACCAGTAATGCAAGTTTTAAAATTCACAGGTCCCCAGGACTTCGCTTACTGTATTTCTATTCTCCAATTTATGCATCTTTAACATTTAGAAGTTAATCCTATACATGTAATTTTCAGATTTAAAAAGTATACATTTTAAGAGATTAACCACAATCAAGGTAAGAAAACCCAATAATTAGCTTCATGTTTCTGATAGTCTCCTTATGATTTTTTTTAGGAATTAAAGGTACAGTCAAGCTAACAGTCAGTGTTGATGCAGGTTGGCAGAAACCAGGCAATGGGCCATCCTTTGATAGCCTCTCTGGTATGCTGTGCATTTTTTTGTGCCTAGATCGATAAATCAGGGTGTATACTGTTTTTGTCTCGTCTGTCTGTTGTCAACCTTTACCTCACCATAACTTTTGAACACTCCACTAATTAAGCTCTAGCTATCAAATGACACCAAGGTTAATTACATTGTGACCTTGACTGTGACCTATAAGCTTTTTCAAACTTTTGCCATAGGAGATAGAGACTTCATATTTGGTATGCATACCTCACTAATAATGCTCTTTCAAATGACACCAAGGTCAATGACCTTGTGACCTGGACTGTGACCTTTATGCCAAAAATAGCTTATTGGAACTTAGTTGCCACCGGGTTGTGTTTCACAAGCACATCTTGTTTCTTTTAAAAGGAATGTAATGTTTAACAAAGTAAAATTCTAATTCTTTATAAAATATTTATATATTTGATAATAAATATATTTCATAACAAATATACATGTATATATTTACATTCAGTGTAATTTTTCTTATGAAATCTATTAGAAATCCACGACGTTCAAATTTCTATAACACACGCGAAACCTTGTCACCGCGCGTGAGAATACACAGTAGGAACTAAATGCATTTTCAATACTCTAAGAACATCAAAATGTAAAATGTTTTATTTCAATTTAATGAAAAACTTTAACCCTGAAAAATTAACGTAAAAATTAACGTAATGTGCGTTAAGAATTAGTTTGTCACTTTTTTCCTCGCAATGTTTGTTTGCGTCATTTAAACTTTGCAACGTCATCTAACGTCGTTTGACGTCACAGACAGCTCTTACATCTATCAACCACGACAGTTTTGAAGGGCTCTAAATTCACATTTAAGATTAACGAAATGAGCAATTATGGAAAGGAAAAATTAGAGAATGTAAATATAACCATTGAATTCATATTTTGGGATGTCTTCAGTCCTATAACACACCTTGCCGTGCCGACAAATTACCGCGCTAACGCGCGGTATTCAGTTTGTCGGCACGGCCAGGTGTGTTATAGGACCGAAGACATCCCAAAATATGAATTCAATGCTTAAATGAATATAACAAATTTATTCCTTTAATAAGTCAAACTGCATAAATGTTAATTTGAAACATATTTTTAGGTCATTGCTCCATGACTGAATCTCAGACAGGCAAAGTCATTGATTATGAAATCAGAACTAAATGTTGCACAATATATGAGAATGCTATTAGAAATGGAAAAGACCTCAAAGATCATGACCGCTGAAAAAACTCTTATCACCATGAGAGGAAAGTCAACCTGTTTCAATTTTCAAGTGCACTTGGTTCTTTTTTAAGCTTTATGGAGAAGCAAGGAATCTATTTTCAGTTGGCCACATATCAAATGTTTTGATTTTCATGTCCTTTTTCATACTCTAGATTCTTGTTCACTGTTAGATCGAATGTCAAAATGTGTACAAGGTTTTTTTTTATCAAAATGTGTACAAGGTTTTTTTTTTTTGAGATATTACCAGATTTCTATTCAAACTTGTCCATCCCAGTTTGTGTTCATATAACCGGCAATATTTATCAGAAGTGTTGCTAAAATGTACTTACAATGCACATGATGCTGTAGAAGATGTTTCAGCTTTGCAAAGTTTATATGACACTGTTCATTTTTGTGATGATGAACATTCATCTTGTACATTTACATTTACATTTCAGTATGCTTTGAGTGTCCATGTAGTATTACATGTAATTACCAGAAAGTTGTAGATAAAAACATACCATTCTTTCAATGTTTGATTGATAAAAATCTTCTGAGTGTCAGAATGGCAAGGAAGAAGGCCAGTAGTGGCCTAAACATTGATTGTCTCAGATAAGCACAATCTAGAAGTTTTGATAGGTTTAATGATAATAATATTTTATGAAACAGAAAAAATTCAGGTTATTTGTAACAAAATATCTCAAAATTGTGATCATTGACACACACTTTGTGTTTCATTTTTATTTCCTATAGAATGCTTTCTTTATATATAAATTAACCAATAAGAGTTTTTATCAGTCAAATTTTTAGAATATTTGAATGAAAAAAGGTTCATTTTTATGCATAAAATGTTATGAAACAGAGGAAATTCAGGTTATTTATAACACAATATCTCAAAATTTTGATCATTGACACCCACTTTGTGTTTCATTTTTATTTCCTATAGAATGCTTTCTTTATATATAAATCAACCAATAAGAGTTTTCATCAGTCAAATTTTCAGAATATTTGAATGAAAAAAAGGTTCATTTTTATGCATAAAATGTTATGAAACAGAGGAAATTCAGGTTATTTGTAACACAATATCTCAACATCTTGATCATTGACACCCACTTTGTGTTTCATTTTTATTTCTTATAGGGTGCTTTATATATATATATAAATTAACCAAACAGAGTTTTCATCAGTCAATTTTTTAGAATATTTGAATGAAAAAAGGTACGTTTTTATGCATAAAATGTTATGAAACAGAGGAAATTCAGGTTATTTGTAACACAATATCTCAAAATTTTGATCATTGACACCCACTTTGTGTTTCATTTTTATTTCTTATAGGGTGCTTTCTATATGTATAAATTAACCATTAAGAGTTTTCATCAGTCAAATTTTTAGAATATTTGAATGAAAAAAGGTTCATTTTTATGCATAAAATGTTATGAAACAGAGGAAATTCAGGTGAATTGTAACAATATATCTCAAAATTTTGATCATTGACACCCATTTCGTGATTAATTTTTATTTCTTATAAGATGTTCTCTGTATGTATACAACAACCAATAAGAGTTATCATCAGTCAAATTTTTAGAATATTCGAATGAAAGAAGGTTCATTTTTATGCAGAAAATGTCATGTTACAGAGGAAATTCGGGTTACAGAAAATAAAAACATGATTGATTTCTGAAATGATTTTTTGTTATTTTTAAGATAACACCTTAATTGATAAAATAATATGGTAGAATGTTTCATTTACACGCTCGCAAGAAAAATTATAGTAAAAGATTGAAGTAACCTTAAAAAATCCATATCTACAATGGTGAATTCATGCTTTAATTTCATTGGCCAATAGCAAAAAAAGTAGGTCATTGACCTACATGTTTTAAAGTAAATTTTGTCAATACGAACATGTGTCTTGCTAATTTAATAGACGAGTTTTAATTATCATCAGTGGATTTTTTTTTCCTTCTGAGTAAACAAGTACCTTAACTCAGAAAATTTAGTCATTTCTACACTTAATTCGAATTTTCTCTGATTTTTTTGTCTATTGTTTCAATATTCTTTTTTGTTTATGATTTAACATTTGCAAATATCATTGCACTGCAGATTTGTATTTTTTCCCTCTGCATCTCACTATATTACAATTGAATTATGGTGCAGTTGTAAGTTAAAAGTCAAAATGGCGATTCAAAATGGCGGATATTCATCTTTTTTCTTCAAATTATTAAATTCTTAATGTCGTTTATATTGGAGAAAGGATTTTTGAATGTCTTACTGAGCATAGTACAACTATGTACAATGACAATAGAACACTAATGTGATCATTTTACTCATACTTCTCTTTCTAAGGAAGAAATTCTTCAAAATCACCTGTCAGTTTTGAATACTTTTAATATTCCACAGAGCCAAAATGAATTTGAACTACCATATATATATATTGGATTCCGAAACTTCATAAGAATCCTTATAAACAAAGATACATTGCAGGTTCCAGTAAATGTTCAACCAAGCCTCTTTCGTTACTTCTCACTAAAATATTGACAGTAGTGAAGGAAAAACTTCAAGAGTACTGTAGAACTATATATTCAAGAAGTGGTGTAAATCAGATGTGGATACTTAAAAATTCTATGTACTTATTCAATCACTAGTTAACATGTGCATGGTAAATAATATGCTGTTTTTTAATTAAGTCGTATTTGCGCAATTATTATATATAGCTTAATGTGTGCCGACGCGATTTAAAAGACCTATATAAAAAGAAGAACATGATAAGATCTGCTCCTATCTAATAACAGTGGAATATCCCTTTACCTTACTTATTGCCTCCTAATATAAGAAATGCGCGTAACGCAACATTACACTAAAGTAGCAGAAAGAGAGTCGGGATTTCCAGTTGCATATTTTAGTTAATTAACAAGTGGAGTTTTCTTACTTGCTAAGTGGCGCTTGATCGCAAACGGACGTAGATTTATGCTGACAGAGAGCGCTTTGCGCTGCGCTTAGCGCTTAAAAATATCGACGTGATTGATTAATCGGTTAATCGATCGAACGTCCGAGTATCGAATTGGACCGAGGCCAACTCACTGTTTAATTTTATACAATGATTTCAATTAATTTGCCTTTTTTTTCGTAATTTAATTAATGAATCTCGTCTGAACGCACAGCAAATTAATTTTTACTATTATAATATGTGTATATTTACTCATATGTAAATTTGCACACAGAATCAAAGTGTCGTTGTTCGAATGGGGTATAAGATTGTTGTTTAAAGTCCATTCAAGAAATGTTCACTTATATAGGGACGTCACTGTAAAGGGGCATGGACACAGTTTCAGCTAAAATTTCAAAATTTATTCTTCCATCTGTACAAATATCAAACTAGGGTCTTTCTAATGATCATCAAAAATTTAAAGTTAGTTCTCGAGTTAAAAAACAGAAGTGGAGCTCAAAATTGGTGTCGTGTTTTTGTTTGCATAGGTTTATATACTAATATATGTTAGTTCAAAGCGGGTGCACTGTTTTCAATAAAAACGTTAATTTTAAATACGATTCGGCAATTTCTATTGATTTACTGAATTTCATTTTGTTAAAAATTTAATATTTTCAATTTGTAAACAAAAACAAGGTAAGAGCCTTGTTTACATTATGAAGAACTTTCAGTTCTGTATCTCGTTTGTTAATCAACAAATGATATCCAAACCCTGCTTATCATTAGATGATGCCTTAAGTAGCAATTGTAAACATTAAAATTTGTTTAAAAATTCAGTTGAAACTGTGTCCATAACCCTTTAAATTTAAATCTTTACTCGTTCATTATCGTGCTAATACCATTTGTGACATTTTTTCTTTAGTGAATCTTATAGATAATTAGTATCCAAATTATAATCAGTTAAAAGAAACTTGTTTAGGCACTTTACTACTTCATTTTTTAGAATTAAATGAAATCAGGTCAATCAGGGCATTATACTATCAGGGCATTATACCTTCCCTACACAGAGCCATATTTGGGTTACTATTCTAAGTAGATCGTTCCTTTTATATTCGAGAAGAGTTTGCATATTACTTGATTGAGGAGGATAACAGAATACTGAGGTGTAAATTGTATGATAAATATGTCTTTAGTAGTTAAGAATAAAGTTTGTAAATGAACGGGAGATTACATTGATGTTAACTCTTATAAACAAAACCAATAAACGTAAGACTTTTTCAAAGCACTTGCAATGTCATTCGGATAACATCGTTCTTTTTCCTCGCACGCTAGCGAGGTGATCCGATTGTTGTTAGGGAACAGTCTAAAAGCGAACAAAATTCCACCAAGAATATTACAACAAAGAAAGAGATTTGGGATGTTGTCGATGGTATACAGTATGTTTGACAGCGACCGCAAGGTAATAAATGTGTCTTATTTGTTGCGAATAATTCGTTTCATTTTATTATGGAAATTTATCTGTCCAACACTGGCAGAAATAATACAGTACTTAATTTGACTTCAAAATTTCTTCCTCCAAGTCACCTCTCTCCCTCTCCCTCTCTCTCTCTCTCTCTCTCTCTCTCTCTCTCTCTCTCTCTCTTAGATTTTCATTGTATATCTTTTGTAGAAACAAGGTATGGGGAGCTAATACATGCTGCTAAGGATGGAAAGGTGTTGTGCCCGAGACATCAGTCACAGTGTAATTTATTTCCATTTTAGCAGGTCCAGTACAATCTCTTGATTTAGCTATATAGCTTTAAATAGCTATATAGCTTTATTAAGCTATTTAAAATAGCTTTATTTAGCTATTTATATACAGTTTTTCACGAAAATGTTTTTTGCTGAAATTAAACAAAAAGTCGCATGTATTTGAGTTTTTTTAAGTAGAGTGAACAATGCACTTTTCATTCAATAATATGTAGCTGCAGAACTGTAGCTCTCTGCTTGAGAAAATTCGGACAGATAAAACAGAGAGCTACAGATCCAAGCTTAGTAAAAACCTTCGATTTACGCCGACGATTTTTTGTTGCTACTTTAGGTATATTCTTCGTGTAGTTTAAGCTTTCTTTGGCTTTTAGAATGGTATTCTATAAAACTAGTACATGTAATTCATACATTTAATTCTTATATTTGATAATTTGTCGACCTTTTAACTGTCCGAAACAGTCCTGTGTATAGTTTTGTAATGTTGGTTTAAAAGAGTTCAATTCTGACGTCCGTAACCACAAACAGCCATTTGTTAGCGTTGAGAGGTAAGTAAATGATCAGAAATTGAAGTTGATAGGGCCATTTCACCAAAAATTCTTCCCGGAAGACTGAGTTGCGATCTAAGAGCGTGGCTTGATCGTTGAAGATCGCACGAAGTCGAAGGTTGACCGCGAAGTGGTCACGCCTCGGTCTCCTGTGGTCGCTCAAAGTCGAAGAATGGTCTTCCTGAAAAATAGATCGCAGCTCAGTTTTTTGACATGTCAAAAAACTGAGCCTCGACTTAAAAGTCGCAAAGAGAGCGTCGAAACAGCGAATACAGTCGAGAAAAAGACGTTTTGATCGAGGGGCAATTGAGGCTAGAGCGGGGATGAGCGAAACTAAGTCTTCTTGAGCGAAAACTGATCGAGCACACGGTCGTACTGCTCGATCAATTCTCAACACTCGCTCGATCCATGCGATGTAGCCTAGATCCGCTGCGATCAAGAATCGATTCGTGCGACCTGCTCCCGATTTTCCTTAGACCAGTGCGCCCACTGTTTGCGAAATGGAGACGATTTGATTATGATCAGAGGATTGAGGTGCGATCTATGTGCGTTTAAGGTTCAACTACTAAAGATCATTTCTCGCTTGAGTTGCGACTTACCTTCGCCTAATCCGATTTAGCAACGCCTACTGAAAACCGTGCAGATAGGGCGCAAGTTTTGGTGGATTTTTGTTGTTGGTTTCAATGGGTTTTTTCTATATTTTTTCTTTCTTTTCCCCCAGTTTTTTCTGTAAGTTTTGGTGAGTTTTTGTTGTTGTTGGCTACTGTGTTTGTTTGGGGGGGGGGGGGTATAATTTGTTTTGTTTTTTGTTTTTAGTTTGGTTTTATTGTTCTTTCATTTTTTATTTCTGAATTTCATTTTATTCTTTTTTTATTTTATTGGTCGTTTCCTTTTGATTTGTTTGTATTTTAATCTCTAATCATACATTCAATATATGAAATCATTTACACATTGTTGTTTTTTACACATAGTTATGGTCAAAACTGATGATCGCCCACTGATCGCTGGGTCTTTTTATACGATAGCAGTAGGTCGCACGTAAATCTGAACGACCAGGGCAAATCTGGCGTAACTCGGACGAGTAGTAGTTGAGAAAAGAACTAGAATTGAGCGTATAGATCGAGGCTAGAACGTTTGTATCGTATCTAAATCGTATTGATCGAGTGTTTATTGCAACTCGTACTGGCCGAAATCGGCCAAAGTCGAGTACTGGTTGGCAGCGCTCGCACACTTTCAAGATAGGTCGTTGAGAGGTCGATGCTACATGGTAGACTGATCGAACACAACGATCCTTGATCGTGTTAAGATCGGATGGAAAGGCGCAGGTAGAGCGTGCAAAGAGCGTCCATAGAGCGTGTAGGACGCACCAAGAACGTTTACAACGAAAGTTATACGAGATAACATCGAACGTAGAGCGCAGAAAGAAAATAAATGTCTAGGTCGCACGGATTTTTCACGCGACTACGTAAAAACAGAGGTGCGACCATGGTCGCGCGTGGTTGCATGCGATTTTTCCAGATCGTACTTGGTGAAATGGCCCCATGAATGTATGATTAATTATAAAATACCATTTAAAACTATTTTCAAAGCTGGGGAAAGTATAAAATACACGAAAAAATACCCATAATAAGCGACAAAAAATCGTCGGCGTAAATCGAAGGTTTTTACAACGCATGGATCTGTAGCTCTCTGTTTTATCTGTCCGAATTTTCTCAAGCAGAGAGCTACAGTTCTGCAGCTAAATAATATGTTGATGGTGCGACCGTTAGGGCGAGCGCAGATACTTATCAAGTTTTCATTCAGATCTGACTTGTCAAACCGCACATGAAATCCAGTCAAAGCGCCCCCTAATAAAACCGTCACGGTCAAAGCGTCCCATGGTTTTGGTCAAAATGTCCCCTGATTTTGGTCAAAGCGTCCCCTGATTTTGGTCAAAATGCCCCCTGATTTTGGTCAAAGCACCCCCTATAGAATTTTACAGTAAAATGATGTTACAAAACCGCCCCCAAATATTGGTCGAAGCGTCCCCTGATTTTAGCCAATGCGCCCCCTGATTTTGGTCAAAGTGCCCCCTTACATTTTTTTCTTAGAAAAAATCGTTTGGGAACGGGCCCCAAGCAATGGTCAAAACGTCCCCGATTTTGGTCAAAGCATCCCCTGATTTTTGGTCAAGGCGCCCCTTAATATATTTTTACATACATCTAATTACAGAATAAAACTGTTTTGTATTTAAAGTAAACAAGCAAATTCAAAGAATTGTGGTCCCCCGCTTTCGGTGTCTTTGTGAGTGAGATGTTATCTTTTATGACATATTGTGTGTAATATGAACATCCTATCATATGTCATGTATTTAGAAAGTAACATTGAAGTTGATTTTTTTTAAAAGGATGAAAACCCTAATCCTGACCGTTAAAAAGTTATGGCCAAAGTAAAAAGTTTTTTAAAAGTAGGTCAACTCCAAAGTCAAGATCAAAGGGTCAAAATTGTTGATATCCAATGAAAGGTTTTTTCACAAGGATTACATACGTGAAGTATGAAAGCCCTAGCCCTTACTGTTCAAAATTTATGGTCAAGGTTAAAGTTTTTTCATAAGTACGTAAATCTTTAAGGTCAAGGTCAAAAGATCAAAGTTGTTGATATCCAATACAAGGACTTGCCACAAAGAATACATATTTGAAATATAATAGTCCTAGTATTTACCGTTCAAAAATTGTGACCAAAAATAAAGTTTTTTTTAAAAAGTAGTTTAAACTCCAATGTCAAGGTCAAAGGGTAAAAGTTGTTGGTATCCAATGAAAGGTCTTCTCAAAAGGAAAACATATGTGAAGTACGAAAGCCCTAGCCCTCACCGTTCAAAAGTTATGGTCAAGGTTAAAGTTTTTTCATAAGTACGTAAATCTCCAAGGTCAAGGTCAAAAGGTCAAGGTTGTTGATATCCAATGAAATGTCTTGCCACAAGAAATACATATGTGAAATATAAAAGTCCGACTATCTACTGTTTAAAAGTTGTGACCAAGGTTAAAGTTTTTAAAAAGTAATTAAAACTCCAAGGTCAAGGTCAAAGGGTAAAAGTTATTGGTATCCAATGAAAGGTCTTTTCACAGGAATTACATATGTGAAGTAAGAAAGCCTTAGTCCTTACCGTTCAAAAGTTATGGTCAAGGTTAAAGTTTTTTTCATAAGTACGTAAATCTCCAAGGTCAAGGTCAAAAGGTTAAGGTTGTTGTTATCCAATGAAAGGTTTTGCCACAAACAATATATATGTGAAATATGAAAGTTCTAGTACCTACTATTCAAAAGTTATGGCCAAAGTAAAAGTTTGAAATTTTTGTGTTAAAGTGGGTCAAACTCCAAGGTCAAGGTCAAAAGGTCAAATTTGGTGATACCCAAAGCAAGGTCTTGTCACAAGGAATATACATGTGAAATATGAAAGTCATAGCTCCACTAAATCAAAAGTTATGGGCAAGGTTAAAGTTTTTGTTACGGACAGACTAACGGACAGACTGACGGACAGACAGACAGACGAATGAGATTTAATGTCCCCTCGCTTTCGCGAAAGCGGGGGACAAAAAAATATATTAGGGGGCGCTTTGACCAAAACCAGGGGATGCTTTGACCATTTCTTCGGGACAGTACTTAAAGATTTGTTTGTATGATGATAATTTTTTTCTATAAAAATATGTAAGGGGGCACTTTGACCAAAATCAGGGCGCACTTTGACTAAAATCAGGGGACGCTTTGACCAATATTTGGGGCGGTATTTTTTTCTATAAAAATATGTTAGGGGGCGCTTTGACTAAAATCAGGGGACGCTCTGACTAAAAATAGGGGACACTTTGACTGGGACGTTTTTCATAGGGGGCGCTTTGACTTTCGGTGCGTATAAGACTCTGATATCATATGACGTCGTTTGCATGTCGCTTTACCAAACCGAAGTCTGAACAGGGCTGATTTCAATCAGTTTATGATTATTTTTCTGCAATAAACAGAAAAATTCATTAAATCAAGGCAAGTTTACTTTTCTTTTAACTTTTGTTGTTATTCTCGTGAAAACGTGGCCTTAGCGTTTGTGTACAAAGCGATGCATTGTGGGTTAAAATTTCTGTGGCAAAAAAATTTATGGAATGAATGTGCAATAGTCCGAATTGTCTCTTCGCCCAGGCGTAGAGCTTGCAGTTACGAGTGTCGCTTTGCGACGCTCGCTGCGCTCGCTATAAATGTAAGAAAAGAATTAACATTATTTTCTCACATTTTTTAAAAAGGCCAGGTATGGTTAAGAGATGTTTAAATTTTTATGTAAAATTTTATTTTCTTTACATTTGTACAGGGAGTCTATATACACTCGAGGTGAGTGGCAGATTTAATTTGGAAGATGGATGACTTTCAGATGTGGTGATGAAGATTGTTTAAAGGAATCTATCAACATAGAACCAATCCATATGAATGTGCAAGTCAGGTGAGGATTGGACTTCAATGTGTAATCAAGAACTGTTTATATTTTGCTTAGCTTAGTGAAAGCACGCCACAAACATTTTAAGTATCTCAGCAAATGTTATGGATATTACAGATGTATCACCATCATATGTTTGGCATTGAGTTGCATTGTCTAAATTTCCATTATGTTTAGTTATACATGTTTTAAGTTACTTAAATATGACTTCAAAAGCTTGTGCTTTAATTTCACTAGAACTAATGAAAACCTCTTTAAAAATTAGATTCTTTTTCTTTACAATTTTGAAAATGATGTTTATTATTAGGACTTGTACAACACCTGACTACCCAGGTGACTGTTAAACTAATTGGTGACCAAGAAAAGATGTCAGAGAGAGGAATGCAATACGGATGTCATGATCAAGAATATATACTGTTATCGATGCTATGATCAAGAATATGTAAACTAACTAGGAAATATCTTGGAGATTTATAGATGAACATAATTTTGAATGTTATTCAGCCAGAGAGTTTTTGCACAAATTTAATTTTCAGTAGAGTAATTTAAACTTTTAAATATTTTAAGATAATTATACCCCCACAAACGAAGTTTAGGGGGGGTATATTGGAATCACCATGTCCGTCTGTCTGTCCGTCTGTCTGTCTGTCCGTCTGTCTGTAGACAAGATTTTGTCCGGACCATTACTCAGAAACTATTGGAAGGATTTGTCTGAAAATTTGTACACATATTATTCACTATATGAAGTTGCGCACCTGAAATGTTCATCTTGATTCGATTATTATTTTGAATTTTACAGGTGTTTTTTCATTTTTATTTTGTGGTTTTGTCCGGACCGTTTCTCAGAAACTATTGCAAGGATTAATCTGAAAATTTGTACACTTATTATTCACCATATGAAGATGTGCACCTGGAATTTTCAACTCTTTTTTGTTTATTTTTGTGCATTTTACAGGTGTTATTTTTTATTTTAATTGACTTGTTCATTTTGGGCTCATGTATAAGGTTTGAGACATAGAATCTAGAATATCTGTACAAAAACGTTAACTACAGCTTAAAACTACTCATAAAAACTGGGGGAAAAAAGAAACATCATCAAGTGTTAAAAACAGTTTTTACATTGCACAGAAGATAATGTAATTTCATTTGTCTCTTGGGAATAATGACTGGACATGCATCCAGTTAAAGATAAATTAATGAGTTTGGTGTGGGAAGTTGAACATTAAAGCATCTTATTATCAACCATGTGTAATCTCCTGGGAATCAGGCACAAGAATTAAAGATCTCTCTTCTCTTAATTTTAATTTATTGTCTGTCAAAGCACTTCATTACTGGATGACCAGCCCTTTATTTTCAAAATGAATTTAATATAAATTAAGTTATCAAGATTAATTTGATTTTGTATAATATGATTTTTTTTCAACAATCAGTTTGCAGAGTGACATAACACATAAGTGCAATATATTTTTTAATGCAGAAATAAAAAGATAAAATAAAAAAATAATGTTACAATGGAATTACAATGTATTAGTATTGATGTTTCATTTGGTTGCACCTTTGTTTCATTCATTAAGAAAAATGATGAGCATGCAATTATATTTCACTGCAAATTTTGTAAGTAAATTAATATGAACACCTCTAGATCCATAAAGTATTTTTGAATTGGCACCTTCTCTGAAAAACCCAGCGGAGGGTATTTGTCCCTACTGGACAGTTCTAGTTTTTGTTTGGAAAATGAGAATTATCAATATGCCAATTTTTTCTCATTGTTATATTATTAATTACTGTATCATTATTAATATCAATGTACATATAAAAAATCTATGCCATCCAATCCTGAGAGTTGTAGGCAATCCTGGTGCGGATAATAGTTTTTTTTCCACGTTTCGTAGTATAGCGGGGACACATTGTATGATAGAAACGTATATTAATGGTTTTGTCTGTATATGTGGACATGGCCAAAGAAATGCCAATGAGAAAGGAGTATTCAGAAAGGTGTTCGAATCATTTTAAGCCAGAGCTCTTCCATAAACACACATGTTTTTTCTTGCTTTATATATATAATATATACCATATTTGTATAAATATACTGGTAATGGAAGTAACAAAACTGTTGTATTTTAATTTCGATTTTTTTATACATGCAAATATCATAGGGTGTTCATGCATTTTTAAGGACTGCACCGAATGCACGTCCGGCATTCTCACTTGAGACATTATTTACATAGCAACGGACACAGGTTTTCCATAGTTAACATCTATGGTTTTTTCCTGGGCGGTTTTTAATTCTGTGATAGGGGTATAAAGTATTACATGTAAAATATTTTACAAATGCATTGCAGTGCTTTATTGTTTCACATTCAATGTAATGTATGTTCAATATTTATGTATTGTTACCAAAATAAACGCGAGCTGCTCCAACTAAGCTAACCTGGCCATTTAATACTAATTTCAACTGGAAATGAAAACGAGATAATTAAAAAATATCTTTGACATTTGTCTGAAAAATCTGGGTATCGACTAGATCAGATTCTTTCAAGTAACAGTGAAAATCCAAAGTATAAGTGTATTAAACAATAGTAAGCATTTTAATAAGGCTTTAATAAAATTTGTATATTTAATGAACTTTAATATGGCATTAAAGGTGAAATGTTATATTTAATTATCTTTTCGTGTAAGTAACGGTTACCTTTTCTGCTTTACTTTTTGTAAAGTTAATACAAAGATGACCTTGCTTTTTGGAGTACCTTTAATGAAATTTACTTGGCAAGTAAAGTTTTGTAAAGGTGTTTTTTCAAGCAGTGTAACACACCGGGTAATCATACCTCTTGTTAATGATTTGATGCAAACTTTGGCTATACATGAACCAACGGCATTACGATATTTCCAATGATTTTTTGTAACGTTTAACTGCATGTTTAACGTCCCTAAATCAAACATTCAGAAATCTATAAAAGTTAATGAAAACATAAAAGTAGCCACACCATTCTTCTGTTAGAAGTGGATCCTAATTTATTTTTACATTAAGAAGATGTTGAAAGCCTATCCCGCCGAGAATTAGGTAATATTGCACTTACGTTCAAAAGAAACTAACGGAAGGTCGAATCGATGGTCCAAGGGAATTTCTAGAGCACTGCCGAAAAACAAAATCAACGTTTGCTCAACAGTTTCCCGACTGATTGATTCGATGGTGATTCTAATGGCTCTTTTCCGCGGCAGGTTAATTTTCCATGGTTAAACATCTTAATGAATCGTGCTTCAATTTATTTCCCCCTGCCATTGTTGAATTTACATCAATAATTCACCCTCGTGTGGAAACCGTTGAAGACGTTTTTATTCTGTTGTGGGATTATATTCTGATTTGAATTAATTGACACTATAAAGAATATTACAGCGTACTGTCTTGTTAATGTCGGTAAGTGTGAATGTTAAACCTTTTTAAAGCAATTTTTAAAGTTTTTTTAAGAAATATTTTACGTTGCTTCTATTGTTTGAAATAGTTCAGTTACTTTTACAAGCTTTGGAAAACTTACTTGACAAAAAATATTTCTTAATCAGAATTTTTCTGCATACGTGTATATAAAAATATTTTAAATGCCCTTTCTTATATTGTTATTTACGAAGGGATTTCCATTAAACAAACATTTAACTTTGTGCAAACGTTTAAGAAATTATTTAAAAGTATCTATGTGTACATTAAATTAAACTGTAGATAAAAAAGAAAGAAGTTTTTTAAAAGTTATTTCGAATTTAAAGTTTATAAAAGTAAAGTAGTAACTATGTGTCTAAGTTCTAATTTAAGTAAAATTACTAAAACGGATTTTTAATATATTCAATAAGTTAAGAATCAAATTAAAGTTGACATAAAACGTTAATTCCAAAAAAAAAATATTTCCAAGTAAAATTTTCAATAATCTTTAAAGCTATTACATGGCACCATTTCATGAGAAAGAAAAAAAAGATATTTTTGCTCCATCAACTGGTCTTTCATAATGCTTTTCATTCAATTTAAGTTTCTGAATTTCTTATTTTAATTTCTAATAGAGAGAAAAAATGGTCAAGAGAAAAATTTTTACATTCAAAATAATCTAAGTTTTACAAACCGGATCCATTACAACTAGTGTCATGAAACGCAATCACCTACCTAGATCCATCGTTCAAATCAGGATAATTCATTTCCTGCTTATGCTATCGCGACCTCTAGCGGCGGATGGCATAATTCCGCCATTAATCTTGTTCGCTGCTGTTAACAAATTACATGGAATCGATACCACAAGAAAACATTTATCTATTCAATTATCTTGTATATTTCATAGAGAGCAGACTAGCTAGGGAGGATTCTTAACGAATATAACGTGTCTAGTGATGTTAGTGATAAAGGAAAACACGAAGAAATCATTATAATTATACTGCGGTTCTCTTCTTAATCGTCTATATGGTTTTTAAATATGGAAACCAGAGAAAACATAAAAATCTAGATTCTGATATGTCTTGATATTCCTATTTCGTGTATAAATTATTGGTTGTTTAATATAATTATCATAATATTTATTGTCACAAAGTTTTTTTTTTTCCTTTAAGGTTTCGTACTTCACTATAAAGTTATAAAACAATTAGATATTATTTTCCAGTCCCAAGTCAAAAAGAAAGAAGATACAATGATATACATATACGGTATATTTAACGAATATGTTTTTAAGAAGTTTATGTCCAAAATTATTTAATAAATATAAAATGATTGTTGCATGTACAGTACACTGTAAGAGCGATTAATTTTAAAATGTGATAACAATCAATCGTCAAGCATGTTAGGACAGTTGTTAAAGTTGAAAGATATCAGTAACTAGTTCATTATTCAGACATTATAAGCATTTTGTAACTCTCTGCCATAGTTTTATAAATGGATTCATTTTATAATAAATCGTCACATGAATTTCGTTTCTTCGATTTTATTGTTTTGAACATATTTTATTGACAAGCAAAAGGATAAGAAACAAGTTCTAAAACTTATTAGTTCTTCTCATTAAAAACACATAGTAATTGTCATGCAAAATAGAAGCAAAAACATGTACAAATAAGAGTCAATAATATATCTAGCCAAATCAAATAGATTCATTTATAAATTTATGAACAGCGGCAAAAATGCCAATGTTTTTGATGCCCCATAGCAGTACGTGAACATCTATGATGTCTGAATCAAAAAAGATAGTTAAAGATTATTTCGAGCATTAAGGTATTTTTTTCGGTTGTATACATTATGAAAGTATAATATAGTAAAAGATAATTGATTTTCAAAATTTCAATAAGGTGTTTGTGTTCTGAATTTGCATAAAGTTTATTTTTTTTTATTTTCTGGGAAATTCTTTATTTGATTTCACAAATCATTTTATAATATTCTTTCTGTCCATTTGGAAAATTCTTTAAAGAATATAAAGAATGAATTGTTACAAAATATGCAAATCCTATGGAAAAATATTCGACTAAAAAAAATATTTTTATATGATTTTAAAAGAATTGAATGCTTATTGATATTT